TAGATGTAGGGTTAGAGGGTAGATGTAGGGTTAGAGGGTAGGATGTTCTGAGGCTCCAGCAGATCTCTTTTCTCTACACGATGTCAGTGAACGTATCATTGACCAGCTGTAGTACCTGGTTGTTCCACCAGGGGGAGCCTCTCACTGTTTAATCCTGTAGAGACCAGAGGAGGCATCTACAGACTACAGCTCCTGGTGGCAGCAGAGAGCATTGTGGGAATAGGCAGCAACGGGACCATGACAGACACTCTGAGGAGGTTCAGGACCTCCAAGCAGACAGAGTTCCTGAATCACAATAACTGATGGAACAGAGCTGACTGAAGAACAAAGCAGGAGTCTGAGGACTAAAACAGAAATGTTAGCACAGATCAAATGTCAACTGTGTTCAGTTTGTGTTATCAATGGATCAGTTATTGATTGATGAAGCTCCAGATTATTGTTCTAAAGTAGCATGGTGCCACAGACAGAGCTCTTCCTTCACAACACCTGTGTGACAGCCAACATAAACTAAGGATCAGGCTGAGGTTTGATACCGATCAGGTGAAGAATGTCTTGATCAGTTCTGATTCTGATCTTTGAGATCGGATCGCAGCATCTCTATTAGGCAGCGTTCATCATCAACAAATATAATGCTGCGATAGGATTCAGTCAGCTGTTCTCCACTGAAGCACAACAGCATGTACAAACTGGTATTCGTTTATATTTCGTAGAATAAATCAGCAGCAGCTGCTGTCTGCAGTGAATCCCTGATGTTCAGACAAACACTGTGATGCTGAAGGAAACTGAAATCAGACAGATTCTCTCTGGAGGTCTGCACAGTGTTCTTCTCTGATGTTTCAGTGGATTAATGGGGTTTGTTGTGGATGGATATCAGACATAATGATCTCCTCAGGTAGTGAAGTCACATTCGTGTGTCACCTCTCACTTCTGACTGTTTTGATGCAAATTGCAACGATTGAGTGCCAGCATTCATGTCCTCCACCAGCATTCATGTCCTCCACCAGCATTCATGTCCTCCATCAGCGTTCATGTCCTCCATCAGCGTTCGTGTCCTCCACCAGCGTTCATGTCCTCCACCAGCGTTCGTGTCCTCCATCAGCGTTCGTGTCCTCCACCAGCGTTCATGTCCTCCACCAGCGTTAGTGTCCTCCANCTAATAGCACATTCGCTCTCTGGTTAGCTCAGAGACTAGCTATAGACTACTATGTAATAACACATTACCTTTGAGTTTAGAGGCCAGGTTAAAGGCTACTAACCCACACAGAACTAACTAGCTAATTAACTAATTGACGGCTTTCCATGCTAGCTAGCTTAATAGCTGACTATCTGATGGGTAAAATATGGTAATTCTTCTCTTCTCTGAGTTACCTCATCTGCAGTTCATTACATTCGTAATGATCACCTACTTACCAACAACTGAATAGCATAGGAATTAGTTGAACTGACTACTGGTTAGCTAACTAACCAACGACCACAAACACTAGTCTGACTGTGTAGATGTAGACTATGGGTATAGCCCTCTGGTATTGACTGTTTTCATTGCATCAACCAAAACACTGAGAGTTCTGCTGCAGAAATGCAGCTCTGCTTGGTTCTTTTTGTGAGTTTTCCATTTTAATGACAGTTCTGCAATTTTTACACCACAACAGTTCCACCATCACGGAATCCTGTTCTGAGCTCCACCCAATACGATTGTGATTAGTTTAAAGAACTACAAGCACATGTGAGCATTTTGTCCTGCTGAGGTCCGACTAAAACTTCTCAGAACGAGCTTCAGTCAGACCATTGAACACATTGCTGCTTCAGTGCAGTGACGAGACCTTAAACCATCAGTCTGTCTTTGTCTGTGTGCAGTAAGTACCAGGTGGTGGTGGAGGAGGAGCGCCCTCGCAGGCAGAGGAGAGGTACTGCAGAGATCCTGCGCTGTTATCCAGTCCCCATCCACTTCCAGAACGCCACGCTGCTCAACTCGCAGTACTACTTCAGTGCCGAGCTGCCGATGAGCGACCTGAGGGTGCCGATTCCCTTCTGTGTTGGTCAGTTGCTTACACGAGTGTCAGCTAGTTAGTTAGCATCATGGTAACAGCCAGTCATCTCATCACTTAGTAGGTTCTTTGTCAGGTGGTCAGGAGGCTGTTTTGTCATATAGCCAAATATGATGTTAGGTAGTTAGTCAGGCAGTTAGCGAGATAACTCAGAAACTCTGTCAGTTAGTTACATAGTTGGCCATCGGTAGGCAACTAGTTAATAAGTCAGTCAGTCAGTCGATTAGTTAGTAAGTTCTTTTGCTAAGTGTGCATTTGCTCATTGGCCAGTTTTTTAGTTATTTAACTAATCTGCTACATCTGGACAGGTTGCTAGTCACAGGGATAACTAGTATGTTACATAGATAGATAGTAACTTGGTTAATAGCTAACCTTATTTTATTCTGTAGTTAGTTAGTTAGTTAGTTAGTTAGTTTTAACCCTGTTGACTTGTTGAATGTGTGGCTGTACAGGTGACAACAGGACCTACAGTGGTTACTGGAACGCTCCTCTGCTGCCACATAAGAGTTATGGGATCTACTACCAGGCTGTCAGCACTGCGAATGGGGTGAGTTCACCTGGTCACAGGTAATATCCAGACACAAAGCTGTCGTGCCTCAGTATGAGTATTTATATGAAGCTCCACGTAAAGATGGAGCCCAGAGATCTTCTACAACAAATGGGAAGAATTTGGGGACTGTGAAAGGTAAAACCAGGAACCTTGTAGTACAACATTCTGGTAGAACCTTGTCTAAAGGTAGAGTCAGAGGGTAGATGTAG